TTATTATTATTAATTTGTTCTTGGTATACAACACCACGTCTCCTTTCATGGCTTATCTCTTCATGAGCAGATTTGTAATGAAAGCAAGAGAGAGCAAGTTTCCACAAACTTGGATCGATATGTGGATGATGTGTTTGCTATTTTTGATACAAATTTTTGTGACTTGTCAAAACAACAAAACCCCAAATATAAAATTCACATATGAAATTGAAACAAAGAGTAACCATTCTTGGATGTTCAAGTCATTGGAAACTCCGATAAGGGTTCAGAAATTGATGAATATATCAAGAACACTAGCACTTTCAGATATCTATCTGAAAGATCCCTCCATTGCACAGATCAAAAAATGCGTTGAAAGGTTTTAAGCAAAGAAATATATAGTGAAAAAAAAGTTATCAGGGAGATAGCTGAAAGCAACGAATATCCTTCAATCGTAGTGGATGACTTTAGGAAGAGAACATTTAGAGAGTGTCTTCGTAAATCCTCTACTTTTTAGAAAGCTGAAGATATAAAATTCATAGTTCTTCCATACGAACAAAATTAGACCAACGGATTGGTTCAAAATTTTGTGAGATTGTATATGAAAGTGGCTTTCAAAACTGCTCATACAATTCAACAAGTTTTGAGCAACCCGAAAGATTAGACATCGAAAAACGGATTCACAAAATAAGATGTTAGGATTACAATAAAAACTGAATTATAATACACGGAACATGTTTCACATATTCGGTTTCACAGACCAGAGAAGTCCACAGTTGCTCAACATGCCACTGAATAAGCCAGGAAGATGAAAAATGAGAATTACAACTTTTTATGTGGAAAAAACAACATAGAAAGTTTCATTTCTCATTTTTCATTATGATATCCTACCAAGTAGTAACGGCTATGCCCATCAATTTATTTTAAGTGAGGAATACTTGAAATTGTTGAGACAACAAGTTTTCAGATGCCTTCGGAAATTTAGAAATTGAAAAATGTGGAATGAGATGTATGAACGGTGATGAAAGTGCCATTCCTAACAGCCCATTGTTCGGACTCTTACATAATTACAGGCAAAGATTAGGTATCAGACAGATAGTAAATAACATTAGGAACAATAACAAAATACTAGGAATTAATTTAATGATCCTCATTATGCAAGGTAATGATTCGTCTAGAAGCATATAAAACATTAACATAGCTGTAAGAAGTAGTTTTAGTCATCTCTTGATGATGCTAACTTGATTAGCGAAATGCATGTCCGAGGACAGCATTTTTGTTCTGGTGAGAAAAATGTGTTGTCACAGTTTAATTTTAAGCCAGAGGTTCCAAATGCTACTCATCAAGTATTGAATTCTTCAACCTATTTTTTTCATTTGTATCATCTGGCAAGCCATTAAAATTAAGCGGTCCAAACCTCTGTCCGGAATTACTTTCAGACTGGTACTCATCTGGAGCAGGTGAAAGAGGTGCATCATTATCTGTTGAACTTCTTGCAACAGAGGGATCGAAAGCTTCTTTTATTTGACTACTAGCTCCTTTTGGATCCAAATCCGTTGCCCAACTAAAGTGCATAAGAGCAAGATCTGTATTCCCTAATTTTTTGTGAACTTTTCCTATTAAATAATAAACCAGAGATTCCTTTGGTACGATCTCTTTGAGTTCCTCCAGTTCCTTCAATGCTTCTGCGTGCCTACCCAAAGCAAAATAGATGGAGCCCCTGTGGAACTTGCAAAGAGGACTTTTGGAGTTGTTAGCTATGGCAGTGTTGAACGTCGCCAAAGCTTTCTCAGTCTCTTTGAGAGCGTGCTGAACAACGCCAATATGGCAGAGGATGACACAGCTTTTGGAGTTTATGGATAACGCTTTGCAGTAGTTCATCTCGGCTAGTTGATAACGTTCCTGAAAATAACAAAGAAGGGAGAGTATAGTTCAAAATTCAATAATTTTTTCCGTTCAGACAAAAATTAAATGAATGTTCCTGTAACAATAACAATATTTATCTATAAGAAAAACAATTCTCGTAGAGGATGGGTATGCGTGTGTGCTAAATAATTTGTACTTTGTTAACTCTGAAATCTACTAAGTAGTGAGCAGCAGTAGTAAGTGTGAGTAAGTAGTCATAATGTTGATATAGTTTGTATATCAGTACCATAGTAAAAATCGACCAATATGTCCACTCCCACTACTTTCATTCGTAAATTCACAAAGTTCTCGGTGACCTCGAAACGAAGTGTGGAGCCAATTTCGTTCTTTTACCATTAGCGTGCGCTCATATAAAAACGAAATTGAAGGTTATTAAAGAATATTTTGTGTTAAATTACTTATAACCAACTACAAAAACTAAAAACAATATCAATTTCCGACCGTTTATTATAACTAATCCGATGTTCGTGAGACCGTTAAATCCTTCGATAATACAGCACTAAACGCGTTGGATGAAAATCTAATCCTAAGAGCGGTTGAAGGTTTCCGGAACTCGGTCGGATCACGTGGTAAAAGAGCCTACTGGTTGTATTATTCTACTGTGTCAATACATTGAATAACTGACAACAAATTATTGTAGACAAATTATATTTGAAGTGGTGCATGTATTCTTGTGAAATGCCATATTGGGGTATTAGCTTGTTATAAAATTGGTTACTTGAAAATTAGTATGGTATTGCTTATAGACCTCCTAGCAGTAAATGTATTCTCTGATTGAAAGTTATTAGGCTTTTGCAACCATAGTCTATTACAACAATAGCGTAACGTTTTGTTAGCACACATGGCTAGATTTTTCAGAGGTGCTCTCTCCTCGGATGTTGAAGGTGCACTGTCCTTGGAAATACAATTAATTTTTTCATTAGATACTATTTCTTCATGTGGTCCTTCAACAGTGAAAGATTCAGCTGCTGCATGTAATATCCAATATTTATTAAAATGTTTAATAAATTGTTTTTAATTTCATTGTAAAAAGCTGATGTAGTATCACATCCTCTGAATGCATGATATGGAAATTGGTTGACTGAGTTGAATAAAAACACAATAGCAACTTTCACGTCTCCCTAAGTACCGTAGAGTTTTTAGAGAGTTTTTTTTTTCATTTTTAGGTACCTAATCATATTTTTTTCATATTTCCATTGCGTTTTCTACAATGAACTTTAAATAAGAGATATTTCTATGATTATCTGAAACATATCTACAACAAAAATACAGAGGAAGCTTTCTGAAAACAAGCACCTGGAAAATAAAACGAATTTACCTATAGAAGTAATTATGGAATTACTAGGATGCTGTGTACGAAACTGTTATTTCCAACTGAAGGACGAATTCTTTATACAAGATGAGGGACTGCCAATGGGACCCGTCATAGCCAACATATATATGGAGTGGTTTGAAACTCTGGTGTGTGGTTGAGATACGTTAACGACACCTTCATAATATGGAACCATGGGAATACTGAACTAGTCGTCACAACAAATTGCCATTCTTAGACGTATTGCTAAATGGGACCGACAATAAGTGGGAAACATCTGCATACAGAAAACCCACTCACACAAGAAAGTAACTGAACCATGAATCCAATCACCATCAATTGACTGAAAGAGGAATCATCAAGACTCTATTAAACCGTGCTTTCGGACTCTGTAATACGAAGGAAGGTCTCGAGAAAGAACTAGACATCATCAAAAATGATCTTCAACAGAATGGCTACTTCAAAGCGGTGGTGAAACAGACTTTGGCTACAAGACAGCAGGAGCCTCGCAAGGAAGAGAAGCCGTCACAAGTGCTTGCACCTCCCTACATCAGAGGATTATCGGAAAGGTTAAAAAGAATTGGATCCTAGCACAACATCAGAACCTGCTTCAGAAACGGAAACACTATCCGTAGCAGCCTCACGAAAACCAGGCCACCAAACGCGTACTTGATTCCAAGAATTGCATTTAACGGATACCCTGTGAGTGCGGAAAATCCTGTCCGGTGAAACTAAGAGGCCATTGAATGTTCGCATTGCCGAGCACAAGAAACACACACAGTGATGGGAAACCAACAAATCAAGAATAGCAGAGCAAGTTTGGACACATCAACATGACATTGAGTGGTCCCAAACTGACATCATACACAGGGAGGAACATTGATTTAGGAGGAAATTAAAAGAAGCCGCATACATGCTGTCCGACAATGTATTCAGCCAAGCTAGCATAGAGATACGTAACATATGGAAACCCATAATCAAGCGAAAAATGGCCAACTCCCGCCAAACGGTCATCTGCCACTAAACCGGTGAAGCAGAAAAAGGAAAGTGGAGATAAGTGAAAGTACTCGAATGACACATAAATAGTCATTTCTCGGAGGAATTAGTCCAGTCATCACCCGATGACGATTGTGGATACTAACAATCGAAACGTCGTGAAGTAACTTGGCTAGGAATCTCTTAACTTTTTATTTTTCTACTTGTATTTTATTTCACTATTATTTCATTTCAGGTTTTTTTGCTTAATATAACTGTTATTTTCAGCTATTCATTTTTAACAATTCCTTTTTTATTAGTTCTTTCAGGGATTTCAAGTCATTTTATATAATATCAGACAATGGAAGTCGTAATGAAATTCATCATGAAACATTGTCAATCACCTTCAAACAAACATTTTAACATAATAAAGGTCAGGTTACTTACCTGTTTAGAATATATAGTGCCGATACCAAACCAAGCATTGTAATGCCTTGGATCCAGCCTTAAAGCATTCCTGAAACAACTCATGGCTTTATCCAGCTCCTCTGTCGTTATATACTCGTGACCTAATAATGTATACGCATAAGGAAAATTAGGATCTACTTGGACTGCTCTCTGGAAAAATTTAATTGCTGTGTCATGTTCCTTATGTAGAGAGAAACAGTTTCCGCTAACACACCACGTAACAGGTGAGTTCTTGTCAGTATTAATTAAGTCTTGAGCTAAAGCAGAAAGAGCTACTTCTTTCTGTAAGTGCCAGAGGGCTGTGGAATAAATATCCATGTATTCAAGGCGAAAGGATTCCTTATCATGCACTTCACCAAAGTACCTGATACTCGTTTCATAATCGGATTGTTCGAAATACGCTAAACCTGTGTAAAAGAATAATAAATTAGTTGATGTCAATTACTGTCATAGCGATATTTAACATCAAACATTTTGCAGAGAAATGAATGTGACAGTACATGATTTCATTTTAAGGAATATTGAGACACATAAGGCTTCAATCACTAAATAATTAATGGAAAAGAAAATATTAGTCCTGAGATAAATCAATTCTCAAAATATGTGACTGATTTAATTCTCATATAACTTCCTTATATTTAATAAAAATTATTCATCTCAAAATGTATGTAAACAAAACAGTTAAAATGCACTGAATGCTTCATTAATTCCTTCATTTTGTTTTATTTCTTTAATTCTCTCAATATTCCATATTCTCATTTTTCAACATTATTATTTTTACAGTTATTTTTCTGATAAATATTTTCATACAGAGTTAGCATTATCTAATCTATAGAAAACTAATTCTAATCTAACCTTTATTACAGCTTATATCTAATTTTTTCACTTAATATTGGACAACCACCTTAATCACCTTATCAAAATCAATAACCTA